ATATATTTGGAAACTGCAGGAATTCAACTCTTAATTTTAATTTCTGTCTCAGTTTTAACACAAAGTACGAACAATACAATTTTTGTTTTGTTTTAAAATTTGTGTATTTTTATAGGCTTTTATTTAACTTGCTTACTCTGTCTGTATGGATCTAAGCTGGCGATCACCTGGAGACGGTTTTTCGCTAAGCCACCCATTTACTTATCATTTGGATCCGCCTATGTATGTGAAGCTTAACATTAAAAAGATACCAATGGTAGTACGACCAGTATCATTTATCGACCGACCAGACCTTTGTAATACTTGCTTAAATTCGAAATGTTCTCGCTGTGGAAGTTTAATTAATTAATTAATTAAATGTGAGGATTAATTGTAAAAATTCTACTCAATGTTATATCCGATATTACTTGTTACACAGACGATTTATTAATGATAATTTGCAAATAACGAAGTGGACGGCCATTTCAGGTAGGTTATAATGTGACGTAGTGGACGGCCAGTATAGCCAGGTTCACTGGTGACGTAGTAGACGGTCGTCATTGCTAGGTTTAACAATGACGTAGTAGACGGCCGATATTTCTAGTTAAAAAGTGCCGTAATGGACGGCTCTTTACAAATAGGTTCACTGTAGCATTAGTGGACGGCTGTTATAGCTATTCTATCAAGTGACCAAGTACTTACTTACTTACTTAATCCTCATCACTCCCTGTGGAGTATAGGGCAGCAACAAATCTCCGCCATTCCACCCTGTCCTGGGCGAGCCACTTTAGTTCATGCCAGGTTTTGCCAGTAGCCTGTACTTCTTCTTCCATCTCCCTCCTCCATGTTCCCAGTGGTCTTCCTCTATTTCTCTTTCCGGGTGGGTTCCACTTCAGCGCCATGTTGGGGAGTCTTTTTTTGCTCATGCGTAGGACATGGCCCAGCCATCTCCATCTCCTCGTTCGAACTTCTGACACAATGTCGTTTAATCCTGTCCTTCGCCATATTTCCTTGTTCGGGACTTTGTCGTCCCACTTTATCCTGAGGATGCGTTGGAGGGATCTTCTTTCAAAGCCTCTGAGTCGGCTCTCTCCTTTCTTGTTTAGTTTCCATGACTCTGCAGCATAGATGAGTACAGAACGTACATTTGACTTATAGATCCTTATTTTAGTTCTCTGCTGCAGTGAGGATGATTTCCAGATCTTAGCGAGTCTGTTGAAAGCTTGTGCTGCCATTGCTATTCTGGTGGTAATTTCTTTCTCCATGCTGCCATTTGCTGATATATAGCTGCCGAGGTACTTAAAGTCTTCGACCTCTTCTAGATCTACTCCATTCGCAAAGGTCTTGAGAGTACTTTTGGTTTTTATTTTCATTAGCTTGGTTTTTCCGGAGTTTATCTTTAGCCCAACGCTTTTGGCAATTTGCTCTATTCTTGTGGTTTTTGCTTGGATGTCTTTTTGGGCATGTGAAAGTAAAGCCAAGTCATCAGCAAAGTCACAGTCCTCTAGGTGGTTGGTAAGTTCCCAAACAATTCCTCTTGGCTTATCCTCAGTGGCTCTTCTCATAATCCAGTCTATTACCACCAAAAAGATGACAGGTGAGATGACACAGCCCTGTCTGACTCCTGTTTTTACCTTGAACCATTCACTTTGCTGATTTTCGTGTCGCACACAGCATTGGTTATCATAGCACATGTCCTTAAGTATGTTTATGACTTTTCCTGGAAAGCCATATAGCTCTAGTATCTTCCATAATGATGGATGGTGGATGCTATCAAATGCTTTCTCGAAATCTATGTAGTTGATGTAGAGAGACGAATTCCACTCCAGGGACTGTTCCACTATAGTGCGCAAGACAAATATTTGGTCGTTACATGACCTGTTGGCCCTGAAGCCAGCTTGTTCTTCACGAAGGATCCCATCAATTCCTTTCCTCATTCTTTGTAATAGGACTCTGCAGAAGACTTTTCCTGGTACTGACAGAAGATTAATGCCTCTCCAGTTCTCACAAACATTAAGGTCGCCCTTTTTGGGTAATTTGATAATGATTCCCCGTTTCCAAGAATCTAGGACTTTTTCTTAATTCCATACTTTATTGAAGATCCCTGATAGAGTTTCTGCACCTATTTTTGGGTCTGCCTTTAGCATCTCCGCAGTGATTCTGTCCTCTCCTGGAGCCTTATTGCTTTTTGTTTTTTGGATAGCTTCTATTATTTCTTGTTCTAGGATGGGTCCTCTATACATTTCAAAATGTGTGTTCATGTCTCTTCTTCTTCTTCGTTCTTAATAATAAGTGTTGAAGGGGATCGAGAATTATCTGCCAGTGGGTTTGAACTCGAGACTCTGTTCGAATTTATCGAACATGAACTTTTTGCCGACTCGACCACGCCTCCAACACAATTAAGCGTTACGTGTCAACCGGTTATGCGCCATTGAGGCCATTGACTCCGATTTCAGCCTGTTTGTCATGTCAGTGAAGTCAGCAGTTTCTTCTGGGTCTGGTCTGTTTGGGGTCTCTTCGAAGTATTCAGCCCATCTTTTCAATTGATGTTTCTCCGTTGTAAGAACTTTCCCGTTTTTGTCCTTGATGGTAGATGATCTATTTGCTATTCCTCCTGTTAGAGTCCTGATAATCTTGTAGACTGTTCTGCTATCTCCCTTATCAGCTGCAGCCTGTGCTTCTGTGGCCATTGTGTCTACATAGTTCCTTTTATCCTTCCTAGCATTCCTTTTTACCTCTTTTTGCAGTCTTCTATATTCTACATCGTTCCGTACCCTGCTTTCCATGATTCCAGATAGTGTTTTGATTTTGGCTTCTCTTCTCTTTTCAATGAGATTCCAAGTATCGTTTGAGATCCATTCCTTCCATTGTTTGTTCCTGTGTCCTAGTATGCATTGGCTTGTTTTCGTGTATACATCCAGGATCTTCTCGCATTGAGTATTGGTTTCCTCTTCTGGTAGGTTCTCGAGTAGACTAAATCTATTTTTTAGTTCAATTGCGAAGTTTGTCTTAATGATGGGATCTTTTAGTTTAGCCGAGTCAAATAGCTGGTGGTTTACTTTCCTGTTGACTCTCTTAAGCTTGAGTTGTAGTTTGCACAAGACTAGATTATGGTCGCTACCCATGTAGATGGCCGTTATAGGTATTCTAACAAGGGCCGTAATATATGACTGCTATACCTAGGTTATCAAGTAAATAAAGACCAGCCATCTAAGAATTCAGAGAAATATTAAGCAAGTGATTAATGAGTTTTGAAATAATTAGTGTTGCTTGTAAATCTTAGAAAATAATATTTCTTTTATCAGATGCACAATTTGTTTTAATAAACCATTATTTAATAAATTCCAGTGCAGTGTTATTATTAAATTTCAATATTGTTTAATAACTTAAATCTGGTTGACTTATAGCTACATTGTTAATGAATAAGTGAGCATTAAATATAACCCAGTGGCGTTGCTAGGTCGGGTGTCACCTGCTGCGACACTCATATATATATATATATATATATATATATATATATATATATATATATATATATATATATATATATATATATATATATATATATATATATATATATATATATATATATATATATATATATATATATATACATCTACATATGTGTGTGTGTGTCGTTTACGTCATGGTGCACCCCCACCTCGTTGTTATAATTGTCGATTATTATTTAAAAGACTATTTAACTTTGATTAATTGTTAATTGAACTGGTAAAAAAGCATTTTTCTTCTGTAAATTTTGCTATTTTTTGTTTTGGTGTCACCACCTAAATGGTGTCACACGGTGCGGCCCGCACCCCCCCCCCACCCCGCCCTCGCTACGCCTCTGCTCTACTTTACTAACAGTAGTCTAGTCTACAACACAGTTTTCAGTTTACTATTCGAGATCTAGAATCTAGATAACTAACAACAAGATCTCTACAAACACACACTACATCTAATCATTGTCTTTTTTATTTAGAGGGATCAGTGTAGTTAATCAAGTAATAAATATCGATTTAGGATATATATTTATGTATATTAGATATATTTTTATGGTTTCCCGGGGTTAGGCCTCTTAGGCCTTTCATAAACTTTAAAAATAATTAATTTACTTACCGCCACAAGACTTTTCTGTCAGGATCGCATGCAAATACATTAGTTCCCAACCATATGAACAAAATAGAGTTAAATTTTAAATATTTTTTGCATTCGGGGAATTCATGATGAGTTTAAAATCTTGAAGCGAATCGAAAAAAAGAAAGCAGCCGCCATGTTTTTTTTATCAATGGGAATCATGGTCACAAAAATTCATTTAGTTTGAAACATTTAATCTCTCCCTGGCAAAAATAGATTTTAAATTCCTGGAAATGATCGAGTGATTCCAGGAAGCGAAAGTAATTAATTATTTTAAAGATTATTTTCAACAGTTTAGCTTCAATTAAAAAATACAAAACACATGAAAATCAATACTTTAAATTCTGCGTTAGGGGTCGTCCATAAATGACGTCACACTCGTAGGGGGGAGGGGGGTCCGTAATTTTGAGACGGTGTGTGATGAGGGGGAGGGGGGGGGGGGTTCAGATGGTGCGACGTCACACTTTTGCATTATAAAAAAGCAATGTTAGAAAACGAATTTTAGACGTTATTTTGCGTTTTAGAAAACTGTTTTAATAAATTGTAATAACAATTTATTAAAATACTTTATTTTGACAGAGTTCAGACAAGATTTTTGAAAAATATAGCTGTTTTAAAAAAAAATCAACTGCAATTTTGAGAGGGGTTGTAGGCTGAGGTGTGACATTATTTTAGGGGGGGGGGGAGGTCTGACTTTTTGTCACGACGTGTGACGGAGGGGGGGGGGGGAGGTAAAAATCGTCCAAAAAGCGTGACGTCATTTATGGATGACCCCTTACATTTTCCCAGCTTAAACTTAATTTTAGCGCTTGAAAATTAATTTATATAGTTTTTGAAAAATAGCATTTTATATAGCAAAATATCACTGAAACACAATGGAACTTCACCGCATTCCTGTTCATCCGAGCAGTCTTTACAATGGTTAACTCGGTCACACACTTTGTTACGTGGTATACATAGTCCGGACCTACAGCGGAACTGGTTGTTGTGGGAGCAGTCCTTGGCTGACAGGGACACAGGTTACACATGTATGGGTTAGAGTCAGGTTTAATTGTAGGCAGTTCAATTAAGCTAGCAATTCCTGATTACAACACAATGTCGGGGATGGGACTAAAGAAAAATGTAGTCCGCATTGTCATGATAAATCGTAACTACACATACACACACACACTCAGATACACACTAATAATATATATATATATATATATATATATATATATATATATATATATATATATATATATATATATATATATATATATATATATATATATATATATATATCAAGAGACTCATTTACTTTAAAATGTATAAAAAGTAGTCATGAGTACACCCATTCCGTTAATAACCTCAGAAAGACTTTAGAAAGGTTTTCAACTCACGACATCTGAACTCGTCGGTGCCACCTTTGCAGTCAACTATAGTATCGCAGACTTGCGATTTTTCGACACACTGGACCAGATTCCAACATGCGAATTGGTTGGATCCACACTTCACCGTCACTAGAAAAAGATGTTAGACGTGGTGAAAAGAGTTCAAAGATATAATCATTATTATTTAAATATCCCGACCATGACTGACAATCTGACAAATTTAAATTTCACGAATTGTCTCAGTAAGTCGAACCGGTGGTACCCCGTGTGTAATGTAACTAGATGGGGCATATAAAAAGTTTTGTGAGAACCCTTGGACGAGAGCCTCCTAGTATGTTGATGAGAGGAGTATCTTTCTAGCCATCAGTCGGATTTATACATATCTTCCGTCTCTCAAGATACGCCCCCGGAGCCGGATATGTCCGACATTTGTAGGTCAGTAAAAACATTCTAGCGGAAGTTCCTTCTGTAGTCGACTAGGTCTTACTTTAGGATAAATACTAGTAGTCTGTTAACAAATGACAATTTCTGTTAACGAGCCGACCCGCTGCGTATCATACGCCGCTATTTAGTTGTTTTTTTTTCTACTTTTCAGTAATTTATAATTTGTGAATTCGACAGTACCAATGCTGCCACTGAAAATATTTGCTTAAGAACACTAAACCCCCCTCCCCCCCACGTGAAAGCAGCCTCCTCTTAGTTATCTCCTCTAAGTTTAAAATCGTTTCAAACTAAATTATCTGCCCCTAATAGCCGTCACCAAACCCGTCTCTATGATTGTAAAATGTAAACAGAGTGAACACCGCTCACCAGATCATGTGGGGGTGGTAGTGATAGAGAGGAAGAGGGGACTGCAAAGGCGCGCTTGCAGCTTGTTTTCTAACTGATCCCAGAAGAGAATTATATATATAGATTATAAAATAAAACCCACAGTTGTTTTACAATAAGCGCTGTTAACCCTATATAACTGACACAATTCTTTTTATTCTTTGTGAAGTATAAGGCCTCTACAATAACCTTCCAGTTTTTCCGGTTCTAGGCTTTTGATTTAGCAGTATCCCAAAACATCCCTGCTGTATTCAGCTAACTCTATATAACAGCTTAATTCGGCTTGTACATGAATGAAATATAATATAAACTCAAATTACATTTAAACGGTTGCTTTTATTTTTTAATTTTATTTTCTGTTTTTTTCCAAGTACCTGTAAGGTGAAACACTGAATCCCCATATTTTTGTACACGTTCAAAAATAATTTCTTTTACTCTTCTACTTAGTCGTAATGTTTGTAAAACGTTAATACCGTTTATCCCTAATCCAGACAGTCACATAACTTAAGGTTTACATTAGCCTTATTTAAAAAAAAACATTGAGTTGGTAGCGCTATTATGAAAGTACCCAAACAGATTGTTTAAAAAAAATATGAATACAATGGACACGACCGAGAAAACTCTCAAAGGTATTTGAGAGGTGTATAAATTAGTTTAAAAATCATGCACAGCGTAGTTACAATTAATATGGTTATAAAATCCTGTCTATCTGTTTTTTTTCGGACTTTACTAAAGATTGGATGTATTTGATGTTTATAATATTTTCGGTAACTAAATAAAAATTAAAAAAAAAGCAAAAACAATTTGGTTTTCACGTGTAATGGCGACATAAACAATGGCATCCTGCTATTGGATAGGCCGTCATTGATTTTATTGTACACATTGTAAGCTAAAAATAGAAAACTAGGTCATGGGGTTTTTAATTTGCATTGTTATTTAAAAACTTGATCTGCAAAGTTTTGTAAACAAATAGTTATCGATCACTAAGTTACTGTACAGCCAATCAATATTTGTCTTACGAAAGTGAAACATCCGGTTATAACTTAGGCTTGATGAAAATAAATAGAAATGTAGCCTTAAACTCAACAAATTATTTTCAAGTTCTCTGGATTTGCAACTTTTATAGCATTTATTCTAAAAATATAAAATTTCTAAATTAATTTTAGGCTTAAGTTTTTTTTTTATATTTTTTTTTACGGTCTAAATCTTAAAAAGCACGTTTTTATTCCATGTCAACAACATTGGGGACGGAATCTCGTCAACTCGCTCGCCTCCATTAGAAAACATCATCTCACGTTGAAGCAGACGACACCACTACTCACCATCACGCTTGTTTACAGATGGTTGATTTCTCTTCGTAAAATTCTGGCAAAAGGCACCTGCGATGCTAAGTAGAACAAACACCAAACGAAGACGAATTGACGCCATTTTGATCATCATCTACTTCGGCAGCTGTCTATATCAGGCAAATAGCCGTATAGTTAAAAAAAAATAAAGTATTTTCTGATTACAACAAGTTTAGTTTTTGTTGGAAACTGGTCATAGACACAAATCTTTTGGGCATATAAAGGCCATTCGAGGAAATAAAAGCGGTTATAATATAATATTGACCCACATGTATCCGGAAAACTGGGCCTATCATATAAAACCACGTGTTATAATTAAGCATTAGGATTGGTTACTATGAAAAAAACCTATCCATAAAATCAAGGTTTCATTGGTTATATTAAAGAAACCAGTGAATATTTTGTGCTAGATATGGGAGGAGCTTCAAAATTGTGGCTGACTGACATAGTTTCCTCGATCGCCACATAGCTCACACATCACCAATGTAACACTCGTGGCTTACAACACCATTCCGTCGCAATGGAACCAGCTTTGCACATTGGGGTGGTGGTTGTACATAATCCCCCGCCCCTTTTCGCAAATGGTGGGCTCGATGTACCTATGGGCATGGTTTCACAAATCTTGCTAGACGTTTGTCTCTGAAACTACATAACATTCGTCTGACACGCTTCACCAGGCTACCCGCTTTGCTTATTGAATCATGTGTTCAATGACAGAATCTGGTAATAAGATTTGTTGGTCAGAAGACCTGGATAAGCACATATAGAAGTATAAAGATTCTACGCAAAGTTGAAGGCATGATTAGATACATATTTGCCAATTTCCGTCTGCAGGCGAGCAGGCTTTTATGAATAATACCATACAGTTCTGTTAAAAAATTAAATATTTTAAAAACTTACCGAAAACATATGGCCTAACTTAATTAAAATCTATAACGCTTAATATAAACCTCTTCTTCTAGACTATGATGATTGCATTAACTGGTATAAATTATGTTGTATTGTGTCAAAAGACCAAAGCGACCAGCTGTACCACATTCAGGTATTACGCTCTAAAATCAATAATCGGTAAAAATACACCCATACACCAGAGGCGTAGCTAAGTGTGTGTGTGTGAGGGGGGATGGAGGGTGGCAGCTCCTGGCGCCGACCCTATGGGGGCGCCAAAAGGGGTAGAAAATAAAATAAATTTAAAAGCTGCAATTTTGAAGTATAAACAGCTACGAAATTTAACGTCTACGAGCCTTTACATACTGATTTAACTGTTTGTACCTTGATTGTGTAACAGTCAAACATATATCTTGAAGAACCAGTGATCGGCAAAAAACCGCTTTCCAGCTTTACCTAGATGGGGGGGGGGGAGTTTGCGCTTTTTGCGACTTAAATCGGAAGGATTTACAGTGGACTGCTGAGTATATAACCTTTATCACTTAGAAAAAGAAACCAATTAAACTGTGATACGATGGTGTAACATTAAAAAGAGAGTTAGTGACATTAAAACCCGCTCTACTAGATTTGTCCAAGATGGTGGGTTGGGGGGGGGGCGCTTTAAAAAAAAAAATAACCCGCTAGCTATTGTACTGGATTGGTGAGTAGATAACCCGTTGTATTAAAGCGCAATATACAACAGTAAAATAAAAAAAAAAGATGGTGGATAAGGCGCTTTTTCGCAAAGATAAATGGGAAGGATCTACACCGGAACGGGTGAGAATATGAATGATTTAACACTTAAAATAGAAACCAATTGTATAAACAAGTCATACACGATTTCACTAGCCAGTTTTGTTAAGAAATGACGCGACTAGTTCTTTGTACGATTCTTACGATTCTCTCAACTTCAACGAGAGAGATCTGATACTTGTACTTGATTACATTACATCTTGCCTGGTTCACTGTATTGAATGGAAATCAATATCACGTATTTTTGAATCGGTAAATATTAAGTAATAAAGCATATAGTCAAATCGGGTGGATGGAAGATGATACTCTTTGCCTTAATTTTAGGAAAATGTACCAAATAAATCATTTTAACCTACTAAAATAGTTAAAGTTGGTACAACACGACGACTGGTACTGCTTTGTTACTTTGTTCAGCCTAACTAATAGCTTAAAACTGTATTATAGTTTCAATGAAAAAATTGTTCTAAAGACACGATCAAAAGTAGACCAAATAAGCTTGCATTTTCTACAAACTACACTATAAAGCAGTGGTTCTTTACCAAATTAGAGGTACCGAATTCCACCAGTTTCATATGCACATTCACCAAAGCCTTCTTAATACTTTTATGGTTCACATTAAAATCTGATGGTAAATCATATGAGTCGGGCGTGTTGGTTAGATTGAACACAGGTTAAGAACTACTTCTCTAAACTCTTTTGCTTTTCTTCTTTTTCTTCTTTTTCTTCTTTTCGGCTTTCTAAGAGGCATAGACATATGCAACACTTCGTTAACTAACTTTTTATGAAGATCGAACCCTAATAATCCAGCCTCCCCCATCTCTATTTTAAACGATTTTCTTCATGATTTTTGTCTTCTTCTCTTCCTCCTTCCCCGTGGACTTTACACTAGCACCTGCTTAGTAATGTTATTTACTGTTTTTCTGACATTGTGCCCTAACCACCACATTTTCGTTGCTCTTATTTCATTATTCACTGTCTGTACCCACCTAGCTCCTTGCCATACAGTGAAAGAGACTTCACATTTAGCTAAAGATCCAGATTGAATGTTTTTGACAATTCCATATTTCAGTTTCGCACATCTGCGAATTACAAGACTTCGAGCTGTTGCGCCCGTTGGATTCCAATTTGTTTCCTCTAACTTGTTTCATTATACAGTCAATAATGTGTACAATAAATCATAAATGTTTCTGATCATGATAATTTGCTATTGTATGTCACTTATATAAACATTTTGTAACAATCTGATAATCCAGCTATATACCATATCATACCAGAGACTGTTCCAAAGATAAAACATAACAAGACTGGCCTAAAGGAATTAGCGCCTGCTCACAAACTACTTCTAAACTCATATAAGTTTCCCTTTCAAACCGATCTATGGGGCAAGTGAAGTAGAGTTTGCTTGTTTCTGTGACCTCGGCATATACAGAGATAGTGTAGTCAGCACTATGCCCAGCCGCCTTTACTTTCCCTAACGTGAGTTAGGTACCTCAGAGTTGGGTGGACTCAGGGACGGTCTACTGATTTGAACCCAGATTCGAACTCGAGACTAACGGGTTAGCAGTCCAGCTCTCTACCGCTAGACCACTCCGTCCCACTCTAAACTCATATAATGTATGTTTATTATTTTTCTGACATTACTAATGTTTTTTAAAAAGATAATGCATCTTAAATGGAAATTAATTGGCGTCAGGTAAAATTATAGTGAACGAAAATCATACACCGTAATTATTAAACCTTTTCCGGTCTGTCACTCACATACACGTACACGTACACGTACACACGTACACGTACACGTACACGTACACGTACACGTACACGTACACGTACACGTACACGTACACGTACACGTACACGTACACGTACACGTACACGTAATCGTACACGTACACGTACACGTACACGTACACGTACACGTACACGTACACGTACGCGTACGCGTACGCGTACGCGTACGCGTGCACGTGCGCATGCGCATGCGCATGCGCATACGCATACACATACACATACGCATACACATACACATACACATACACATACACATACACATACACATACACATACACATACACATACACATACACATACACATACACATACACATACACATACACATACACATACACATACACATACACATACACATACACATACACATACACATACACATACACATACACATACACATACACATACACATACACATACACATACACATACACATACACATACACATACACATACACATACACATACACATACACATACACATACACATACACATACACATACACATACACATACACATACACATACACATACACATACACATACACATACACATACACATACACATACACATACACATACACATACACATACACATACACATACACATACACATACACATCCACATCCACATCCACATCCACATCCACATCCACATACACATACACATACACATACACATACACATACACATACACATACACATACACATACACATACACATACACATACACATACACATACACATACACATACACATACACATACACATACACATACACATACACATACACATACACATACACATACACATACACATACACATACACATACACATACACATACACATACACAATTTGGCGCCCCCATATATATATATATATATATATATATATATATATATATGGGGGCGCCGAATTGAAAGTTCATTCCGGGCACCGGGATGGGTCGTTACGCCCCTGACATACACCCGATGCATTGCTCACACACTGAAAGCTAATTGAAATCACATTTTTGATATCTAAATAAAATGATAAATTTATTTCGTGGGTATACTATTAACCCTTCAAATAAGTGAATTTAGGATTCGTTATACAATCAACTAAAAAAAGTTTGAATTGCCTTGATCATCCCTTTCCAACCCCCTCTCCCAATCCTGATACCAAAGTGTAACGTAGTTCCTAAAGTGGCTAGGTTACTGTGATGTTTAAAAAAAAAAAATCTAAATACAGTGGTGGCCCTTCTATGGTGAAGAAATATAAAGGCTAAAAACACCTAATCTAAATACATATTTTTTTCATTGTTGAAAGCATACTGGCTTCATAGTAAATAATAAGCAACGCCTTCCCCCTCACATGAACAATATGAAATACCTCACCCGTATTTCACCAACTCTCCCCGACTTCATACACACACATTTACAAACGGATGACACATTTTAGTAGGGCCTACATTATTTACTCTCCCAGAGTGTAACAATAGAATGGAGAGTGGGGTGGGGGGGGGGGGAGGGGGGGGGGATGGGCGGTGGGGGGGGGGGGGGGGTTGCGAAACATTTAATATCTGTAAAAGAATCAGCTTACAGTGTTTTTAATTTTGTAACTAGGTCCCTAACAAAACCGCATGGTTTTCTAAACGCGGCTAGGTCTATGTGTTGTATTTTAATTTAAACTACGGTGGCGGCCCACCTATGGTGTAAAAGATTGTAGGAAAGACAAGTCACAGGAAAAAAATAACACTTGAAAAAGCAGAAAAAAGTCACATGAAAAAGTAAC